GAACAGGTCTACAGTAGGCACAATCTTAGCTATGAAAGATATATCAAGAAGTCTCAAGCTGCTAATGGAGTAATGAAAATCACATCTGAGAAATAAAGAGCATTTTAGAGCTCATAATGGAACCTGAAACTGATCTGACGACAGAAGAACTCCAGGGATGTCAGAACAATGATCATCCAAGTGGCATCCAAACCAGACTAAGGTTAATGAGGTTGGGGATCTCTACAATTACAATATTATTAATTACTTCTGAAAAATCCTGAAGAAAAGAGAAAAGCAATTGACATTGGACAGATTCTTTAACCCCCACAAACGGGAAAAACATGACTAATAAAAATGCAACACTGCATATATATGTATTTTTACTACTACACATAAAAAAAACGTAGAAAAAAAGCATATATTTTTTATTTTTTGGAGTCTCCAGAATGAATTAATCAAATTCCTATAAAAACCTATGGTAAATTGATAATCAGTTAACGAACAATTCTGATAATGAACAAAGTCTTGGAACGGATTATGTTCATTAACCAATCACCCAGTGTATTGTTAAATAACTTCAATATGGTGCATGCTATGTAGTGTTTTTTCACAACTTTAAAAAAAAAAGTTTTATTTATTTTGGTATTTGAAAAAAAAAAAATACCAAAACAAATAAAATCACTGCTTGGCATGAAAAATTTTGAGGGCTGATTTCACTCCCTAAAAATGTTTTTCTGCCAATAAGAAAAAATGTTTATTAGTATCTGATATTCTACAGCATATATTCAAAATTGGAGGACGACACTTGGATAGCATTCCTTGTAATAAAATAAAGAATTCACATGATTTAATTATTTGAAACTAATGTATTATACTGAAATTGAATTGAAAAACAAAGTTAACTTACTAAAGTAGGATTGATGAACCTTGGTAATCTTTGCCTCACAATAATATCTTCACCCATTTCTGCAGCTCTAAAAAATTTAAATAATTTATGTCAGAATCTGATTCATAATAAATAAAATATTAAAATTCTTAGTAATATGGTCATTACAAAAATCAAAAAACAATAAGAATAAGAATTTATTTTAGATGTGCAAGTCTTGCAGCATTGTGGAAAATATAAAAGATTTTATAAATTATTCTTAATTGAGACAAAAGAAAACATTGGCAAAAATTATTTGGGCAACCAGGTATATATAACAAAATATTTTTTAGTTCCTATTTTGAGAAGTGGTCAGTATAAACTATTTTACTAATGAATGTGCAGAATAATGTTAGAAATAAAATCTGACATAAATTTTGTCACAGTTAAAATTAAATTATGAACCCTTATCTTTCATATTAATTTCATCAAAAATCATAAGATGTGTTGAATGTCATTACTATATTTTTGTACAGATTAAAATAAATTATCTGATCAGCAAATTCTGGATTATGTAATGTAGAGTGGTAAAAAAATGACCTTCCCTGATTTTTACATTTTTGGACTTGGGACTTAGAAATATTGAGAAATGCAAAAAAATTTTGAGCTTTTTTTTTACAGTGTGTGGGGGCATGATTTTGTTCATCCATTTTAAGCTTAATAATTCCTGTGCTTGTAAATTTCCAAAATTTTGTAGGGACATTTGTTTATTAGGGGATTGATGCTATTAACTTTTGGTGGTTAAAGGTCAAGAGGGTGGGAAGACAGAGTGATCATTTGTCATATATTAATTAAATTAAAGTGGGGTTGGACTTAATGAAGATTTTACTCATTAACATTTGCAAATTTTTTAAAATAAAACTCAGCATAATTTTTTCAGGGTATAGATTTTTGCCATTTTATAATAATTAATAATAATTTTTAAAATAGAATCTCATAACAGATGGTGGCTTACATATTTTTAAATTTTCTCCTGAAAAGTTACACAACTTGTTGTTGGATTTATTTTAAGTTTTTGTATTAATTCCAATAAGTGACTATAGACTATAAAATTTCTAACAGTTTACTGGTTTTAATAAAAAGATTTAAATTCAATATTGCTCTGAAGATTACTTTATAAATTTTTATATAAAATTAATTAAATTATAAATTATTGAAGTTTTTCAATAGAACAGAGAATATAAATTAAGGAGAAAGCAAAAGAAGACAGTTGTGGATTATAACTGTCAATAAAAAAAAAAAAAATAGTTCTGCTACAGAAACTAAAATTTAATTTACCTTTTTATGCCATCAAAAGCCATGCTAACCATATCTATTACACCTCCAGCAGGTTTGGTTATTAATCCCATTATTCCTTTCCCAATTCCTTTAAAAAAACCTTCTACACCTTCTTGTTGTGCCCCTAAATCATTATATAAATGAAAACTATTTTTAAAATACAATATTAATTACAAAATATATTTAAATAGTACAAGTAAATAATTTTTTAAAATAATGCATAATTAATATATTTAAATTTTTAGTTTTGAGTGTATGTTAACAATTACTCTGTTTGTTAATATGACATGTTAATTGTTATCTATCCAGAGTAATAATCAATATAATTACTAAATAAATAGATATTATTCATGTTTTTATTAATTAAATAATTTTGAACTGTTCAAATTTAAAAATTTTAATCTTATATATGAGAACATTCCATTTCATTTTTTAAATGTGTGCATAGTATTCATTTTGCAGTATGTATCATACATACTGTAAGTCATGAATGATAAAGTTCTAGAACATCTGAAAATGTAAATAAGATGTTGTCCTAGAATTTCATCATTCATGGCATTGGAATTAAAGATGATAATGCCTTGAAAAATATTTCAAATTGAAATCTGGTGTCTTTTTGATTTTGTTAAACTAACTTGCCAAGAATACTAATTGTTATGCAATGTCCATAAGATTTAAGATTTAAAATTAAAACAAAATTATTATTATTACTTAAAAAGAGTAAATAATCATACCAGTAACACCTCTTCCTGAAACACATTAGGATCCCAGGAAGCAGAGAAAGAGAGAAAAAAGAAGCAAGTAATGCATGTAAAGGAAAGATTAAAAGATTTAAACATTAATTACAAAATGAAAGAGAAGCTATTGATATAAAATACTTTATAGAAATTTCAATTGGTTTAATAACTAATTACAATATATATAAAGAAAAATTTTTCAGCAACTGTGATAGAAGAGTTTTTATATTTAAAATGCTAAATGCATTGCATTCAAAAATAACAAAAATATCTAATAATTTAATTGTAATAATATATTTTACAAACGTTTTAAATTACTATGATTAAAATTTATAAGTTAACGAATATCACTTTTTGAAACAGAATCATGTTAAACTGTTGTTAATGTCAGAGAAAGACATAAAATGAAAATTCTGTCACTTAAAAACTTATAATAATAAGTAACATTTAAATTAATGTTCTTATCTTAGTATGCTATTACATGTACTGTACACTAGTTTTCTCATTAAATATACAGCGTATGTATATATATATATATGGGCCTATAATGACAAAACTAGCATTACTGAATAAATTAAAAATCTGAAAACAATGTTTCTTGTATTTATGTAGTGTTTTTTCACAACTTTAAAAAAAAAAGTTTTATTTATTTTGGTATTTGAAAAAAAAAAATACCAAAACAAATAAAATCACTGCTTGGCATGAAAAATTTTGAGGGCTGATTTCACTCCCTAAAAATGTTTTTCTGCCAATAAGAAAAAATGTTTATTAGTATCTGATATTCTACAGCATATATTCAAAATTGGAGGACGACACTTGGATAGCATTCCTTGTAATAAAATAAAGAATTCACATGATTTAATTATTTGAAACTAATGTATTATACTGAAATTGAATTGAAAAACAAAGTTAACTTACTAAAGTAGGATTGATGAACCTTGGTAATCTTTGCCTCACAATAATATCTTCACCCATTTCTGCAGCTCTAAAAAATTTAAATAATTTATGTCAGAATCTGATTCATAATAAATAAAATATTAAAATTCTTAGTAATATGGTCATTACAAAAATCAAAAAACAATAAGAATAAGAATTTATTTTAGATGTGCAAGTCTTGCAGCATTGTGGAAAATATAAAAGATTTTATAAATTATTCTTAATTGAGACAAAAGAAAACATTGGCAAAAATTATTTGGGCAACCAGGTATATATAACAAAATATTTTTTAGTTCCTATTTTGAGAAGTGGTCAGTATAAACTATTTTACTAATGAATGTGCAGAATAATGTTAGAAATAAAATCTGACATAAATTTTGTCACAGTTAAAATTAAATTATGAACCCTTATCTTTCATATTAATTTCATCAAAAATCATAAGATGTGTTGAATGTCATTACTATATTTTTGTACAGATTAAAATAAATTATCTGATCAGCAAATTCTGGATTATGTAATGTAGAGTGGTAAAAAAATGACCTTCCCTGATTTTTACATTTTTGGACTTGGGACTTAGAAATATTGAGAAATGCAAAAAAATTTTGAGCTTTTTTTTTACAGTGTGTGGGGGCATGATTTTGTTCATCCATTTTAAGCTTAATAATTCCTGTGCTTGTAAATTTCCAAAATTTTGTAGGGACATTTGTTTATTAGGGGATTGATGCTATTAACTTTTGGTGGTTAAAGGTCAAGAGGGTGGGAAGACAGAGTGATCATTTGTCATATATTAATTAAATTAAAGTGGGGTTGGACTTAATGAAGATTTTACTCATTAACATTTGCAAATTTTTTAAAATAAAACTCAGCATAATTTTTTCAGGGTATAGATTTTTGCCATTTTATAATAATTAATAATAATTTTTAAAATAGAATCTCATAACAGATGGTGGCTTACATATTTTTAAATTTTCTCCTGAAAAGTTACACAACTTGTTGTTGGATTTATTTTAAGTTTTTGTATTAATTCCAAGAAGTGACTATAGACTATAAAATTTCTAACAGTTTACTGGTTTTAATAAAAAGATTTAAATTCAATATTGCTCTGAAGATTACTTTATAAATTTTTATATAAAATTAATTAAATTATAAATTATTGAAGTTTTTCAATAGAACAGAGAATATAAATTAAGGAGAAAGCAAAAGAAGACAGTTGTGGATTATAACTGTCAATAAAAAAAAAAAAAATAGTTCTGCTACAGAAACTAAAATTTAATTTACCTTTTTATGCCATCAAAAGCCATGCTAACCATATCTATTACACCTCCAGCAGGTTTGGTTATTAATCCCATTATTCCTTTCCCAATTCCTTTAAAAAAACCTTCTACACCTTCTTGTTGTGCCCCTAAATCATTATATAAATGAAAACTATTTTTAAAATACAATATTAATTACAAAATATATTTAAATAGTACAAGTAAATAATTTTTTAAAATAATGCATAATTAATATATTTAAATTTTTAGTTTTGAGTGTATGTTAACAATTACTCTGTTTGTTAATATGACATGTTAATTGTTATCTATCCAGAGTAATAATCAATATAATTACTAAATAAATAGATATTATTCATGTTTTTATTAATTAAATAATTTTGAACTGTTCAAATTTAAAAATTTTAATCTTATATATGAGAACATTCCATTTCATTTTTTAAATGTGTGCATAGTATTCATTTTGCAGTATGTATCATACATACTGTAAGTCATGAATGATAAAGTTCTAGAACATCTGAAAATGTAAATAAGATGTTGTCCTAGAATTTCATCATTCATGGCATTGGAATTAAAGATGATAATGCCTTGAAAAATATTTCAAATTGAAATCTGGTGTCTTTTTGATTTTGTTAAACTAACTTGCCAAGAATACTAATTGTTATGCAATGTCCATAAGATTTAAGATTTAAAATTAAAACAAAATTATTATTATTACTTAAAAAGAGTAAATAATCATACCAGTAACACCTCTTCCTGAAACACATTAGGATCCCAGGAAGCAGAGAAAGAGAGAAAAAAGAAGCAAGTAATGCATGTAAAGGAAAGATTAAAAGATTTAAACATTAATTACAAAATGAAAGAGAAGCTATTGATATAAAATACTTTATAGAAATTTCAATTGGTTTAATAACTAATTACAATATATATAAAGAAAAATTTTTCAGCAACTGTGATAGAAGAGTTTTTATATTTAAAATGCTAAATGCATTGCATTCAAAAATAACAAAAATATCTAATAATTTAATTGTAATAATATATTTTACAAACGTTTTAAATTACTATGATTAAAATTTATAAGTTAACGAATATCACTTTTTGAAACAGAATCATGTTAAACTGTTGTTAATGTCAGAGAAAGACATAAAATGAAAATTCTGTCACTTAAAAACTTATAATAATAAGTAACATTTAAATTAATGTTCTTATCTTAGTATGCTATTACATGTACTGTACACTAGTTTTCTCATTAAATATACAGCGTATGTATATATATATATATGGGCCTATAATGACAAAACTAGCATTACTGAATAAATTAAAAATCTGAAAACAATGTTTCTTGTATTTACAATTTAACAAGAAACTTGAAATGAAAACCATTATTGTATAAAATTTTTTGAAGAATTTAAAATCAAAGTATATTGTTAATCTAATTAATCTTTTATATAAAATGTTTACATTTAAAACTTTCTATATGTCAAAATTATTGTTTTATACTAAACATAATTAATTGGACTATTTTTTTGTTACAATTAATAAAATGTAAACATCCCAAAGCCTGATGTATTAATACTAAACCAAATGATTGCCATAATTAATCAGGCTATTTTTTATTACAATTATTGTTTTATTTGTTATTTCTTCAATGGAACACTAGCTTTTTACACATTATATAAGTATAATCATATTATTCAAAATAAATCTGCTTAGAAAATGTGAATTAATTCATTTTTTTATTAGGGAATGTTAAAAATACTAATAAAACTATCACTATAAAAACTCCAGCAAAGCAAATTTATTTATATGAAAATGTTTTTGACCGTATTTAAAGGTTTTCAGGTAATTCTAAATAAAACATCAAATTAAAAACTCGCTTTTATGTAAAGTTTTAAATTGGAGTTCTAAGGATGACAACAATACAGTAGAGCATCGATTATCCGAAAGTCAATTATCCGAAAGAATTCCAGTCGGCAAATTTAAATTTTCACCAGTGCTGTGGCGCTGCAATCTTTGGCTATGTCTTGGGCTACTCAAATATTTTATGTTTTTGATACTAAATTAACTTCTGAAGTATAATTTTTTATTGTTTTTATATTTTTCAATATATTTATTTTGTTTGTACAAAATAAAAAAATAATTTTTAACGATACAATAGTCTTCGTTAGGCTTAACATCGACGAAAATTCAACGCGAAGCGACACGCAACGGA